ACCCTATGAAGACGACTAGATCCCAACTTTATTTTAAATTTAAAAAATCATAAATACACTCACCAAAGTAAACTCTTAGCGAAAATCCCTTCCGATCCGTCAAGCAGGGTGAAATTAACCCTTAAACTTCAAAATAAATAATTACCCTATGAAGACGACTAGATCCCAACCTTATTTTAAATTTAAAAAATCATAAATACACTCACCAAAGTACGCTGTAAGCTTGTACAACAGTGTACTTTGGTAAGTGTATTTATGATTTTTTAAATTTAAAATCAAGTTGGGATTTAATCGTCTTCATAGGGTAATTATTTATTTTAATGTTGAAGGGTTATTTTCGCCCTGTTTGACAGGTCAGAAGAGATTTTCACTCACAGTGTACTTTGATGAGTATATTTAACCTTTTTTTAATGTAAAACCAAGTTGGGATCTAATCGTCTTCATAGGATAATTATTTATTTTGAAGTATAAGGGTTAATTTCACCCTACTTGACGGGCCGGAAGGGATTTTCGCTTACAGAGTACTTTGGTGAGTGTATTTATGATTTTTTAAATTTAAAATAAAGTTGGGATCTAATCGTCTTCATAGGGTAATTATTTATTTTGAAGTTTAAGGGTTAATTTCACCCTGCTTGACGGGTCGGAAGGGATTTTTGCTTACAGTGTACTTTGGTGAGTGTATTTATGATATTTTAAATTTAAAATAAAGTTGGGATCTAATCGTCTTCATAGAGTAATTATTTATTTTAAAATTTAAGGGTTAATTTCACCCTGCTTAACGGGTCGGAAGGGATTTTCGCTTACAGTGTACTTTGTTGAGTGTATTTATGATTTTTTAAATTTAAAATAAAGTTGGGATCTAATCGTCTTCATAATGTAATTATTTATTTTAAAGTTTAAGGGTTAATTTCACCCTGCTTGACGGGTCGGAAGGGATTTTCGCTTACAGTGTACTTTGGTGAGTGTATTTATGATTTTTTAAATTAAAAAAAAAATGGGGTCTAATCGTCTTCATAGAGTAATTGTTTATTTTAAAGTTTAAGGGTTAATTTCACCCTGCTTGACGGGTCGGAAGGGATTTTTGCTTACAGTGTACTTTATTGAGTGTATTTATAATTTTTTAAATTTAAAATAAAGTTTGGATCTAATCGTCTTCATAGGGTAATTATTTATTTTGGATTTTAAGGGTTAAGTTCACCCTGTTGTATACACTTCACAGGATAATTATTTTATGAATTCTATAGGTTAATTTTACCCTTCTCAACGGATCCGAAAGCAACGTTTACCTATAGCGTATGTTAGTGTATTTATTTTTTAAATGTAAAATTAAATTGCGATCTGATTTCCTTCGTCGGATAAGTACTTTTATCAATTTTAAGGGTTATTTTCAACCATATATTAATTGTTTGTCGATAATTATGTGTAAAATATATATTGACAATATTATTAAAATTGTTGTACGCCGGACGCCACTGTTTTCCCGATCGGGTGTTTTCGGTTATTTTTACTGCTAAAAGTTACTGCTAACTTCACACCGGTTGAAATTTCTATATTAAAATCCGATTTATTTCATTTAAAATTATTAGCATAGTTTACACAATTTTTATATTATTTTTTTATTGGGATATATTTTCTATAGGAAGATTTTAAATTAACACCCTGTATAATCTGTGGTATATGTTAGTACTAAGCAGTTTATGCTGACTTTTATTAATTTTATTCTCTTTAACGTAATAATATGAACTGAAATACTAATATACTTGTATCGTATTTTATTATGATAAGCAAATAATAAAATAATGGTTATTATGCAATATTATTGAAATTAATAGTAGGTATATTGTGTTATTATTAAAAAAATTGACACTTTTGTTTTATGACGAGTCTGTAGAATCTGTATATTCTGTTTCCCTAAAAAAATTGAGAAAATAGTTGAAAAAGTCTATTTTTTGTATATTTTCGGAAAATAACAGATTAAAATAAAAATGATTCCAGAAGAGCACAGATTTACTTGTACCTGCATATTTTTCTTGAACAATATATACGATAATTTAAAAGCTATCCTTCTTGTTTTCATTTTTAAAATCCAAAATTATTAAAACAGTTATTTCCACAAACCCATTGATAAATTTTATAAAAAAATATGTTGACGGTTGTAAAGAGAATTCATAGATCTTTTAAAAGAGGTATCACTTTACCCTCCTTGCAATTACATTTTTTTAAAGAGGAGACTGTGTAAAGTAGAGGGGTGACGTTACGTATTATGTTAAAAAATATCCCCCTTGAAATCAAGGTCGACGTATTTCACTTTTTTAGAAAGTTATTACCTTCGCAGTTATTTAGGTTGGGTACTTTTCGTTGGGCACCCTGTATACAATTATTTCGCTGATACATATTGTTACGCAGCACCCTGTAGTAGCCTGCGGCTATCATAGGAAACGTACAGTGCGAAGATCGTTCCACTGGGAAAGCCACCACAAGTAACTCAGTTGACGCCAGCTTCGTAAAACAGCTAGTTAAAAATAATGACCACCTGACAGCTGAAGAACTTAGAAAAGTCAAAGAATTTATCAATACCAACAGTGACATTTTCGAGACAGGAAAATCTACGGGGCGTACCAGTCTTGTTCAGCATAGAATTTATACAGGCGATGCAAGGCCAATACGACAAGCACCTAGAAGACTTCCATTTGCTAAACAAAAAGAAGTAGCAAATATGATACAGGACATGATGGCTGCAAATATCATTGAAAAAGCTTCTAGTCCCTGGTGCTCACCTGTGGTCCTAGTAACTAAGAAAGACGGATCTACTCGTTTCTGTGTAGACTATCGAAGATTAAATGGTTTTCCACGCTAGACTTGAAGAGTGGATACTGGCAAGTAGAAGGACATCCTGACTATCGAGACAAAACTGCTTTTTCAACTGGCAGCGGATTATACAGATTCCAGGTTCTGCCATTTGGTCTCTGTAATGCCCCAGCTACCTTTGAACGTCTAATGGAAATGGTTTTGAAAGGATTAACCTGGAAAACTTGTCTAGTGTATCTCGATGACATAATGATCATGTCAAAAACTTTTGATGAACATCTAACAAATTTGAGTGAAGTATTTGACAGATTAAGAAATGCCAATCTAAAGCTTAATCACAATAAATGTTCACTATTCCAATCGGAAGCTTATTATTTGGGACACATCGTTTCTGCGGAAGGAATCAAAACTGATCCGGAGAAAATTATCGCTATCAAAGATTGGCCTAAACCAAGAGATAAAAGAGAAATTAGAAGTTTTCTTGGACTGTGCTCATATTACCGGAAATTTGTCACTTTGGCCGAATTGCTAAACCTCTTCATCAACTAACTGAAAACAGTAGTCTATTTGACTGGACACCGGATTGCCAAAATGCTTTTACCGAGTTGAAAAAGCGATTGACCACAGCTCTCATCCTAGCCTATCCTCGAGAACAAAGACAATTTATTTTGGACTGTGATGCATCCCAACACGACTTGGGCGCCGTGCTATCCCTATAACAAGAAGGGGAAGAGAAAGTAATCGCCTACTTTAGTAAGACCTTGGGAAAAGCTGAAAAGAATTATTGCGTCACCAGGAAAGAACTATTAGCTATTGTCAAAGCCCTTGAACATTTCCATACTTACCTTTTTAACTGAAGTTTTATCACTAGAAGTTACCATAGTGCCTTGCAGTGGCTGATGAATTTTAAAAAACCTGAGGGACAAGTTGCTAGATGGATAGAAAGACTGCAACAATATAACTTTGAGATAGTGTATCGAAGGGGACGTCTTCATAGCAACGCAGATATTCTCTCCAGGCGACCCTGTTTAGAACGACAATGCCGGTACTGTAAAAGGCTTGAAGAACGAGAGGAGCTGGTTGAAGAAGTTAGTCTACAGGCGACCACTATCAAGCCAGAAGATGACGAAGATAATATTGTTATTCAATGCACACCATTTTAAAAAAATACATTCGAAAAGTAGACACTCTAAGCTTTAAAATGGTGTACATTGAATAACAATATAATGAAATATGAGTTTTTAATTACTGCTTGTTTCAAAGATTTCTAGAACTCCGAAAACGTATGAAAAATGCAAATAAACAAATCAATTTTGTTTTAAAACGCTAGAAAGATACTGGAAAAAAATTTCTGAGATCATTCGAGACATCTCAAGATCCCATTTAAAACAAAAATGGGATAAAAAACTATTAAAAGAAAAAAAATATGAATGAATTACTATAAAGTGGTCCAAAATAGTGGGAAAACGCAACTTTGACCCCTTTTTCAATGTTCTTGACAGGAAATAACGGGCTTCAAGGTACATGGATCGATACCTATGGGTTTTCCCATTGTAATGAACTTTGAATCATTGAAAAATATCAATTTTTGACCGAGTTCTGAAACAATTTGTCCACCCGTTTACAATCTAATCAGCATTGCTATAGAGATAAAGCAGGGACCATTTTTGTATATAATAATAAGAGTCCATTTTGGGCCCTTTCCGACGCAGCAGAGTTGGTAAAAGTTTTCGCCCTTGAAAGCAACCGTCAAGACCTAAGAATTGAGCCACAAAGGAAATCTGGACCGACTTAATGACAGCTTTGCATATTTTCAGGTCTTCAGTTACTGGACTAAATTGTATTTGTACAGTTTTGTCAATTGAAATAAATTTTCATTATGTTTAATTTTTTCATGAACTGTTATTTTTAAATAAATAAAGATATGATTTTAACTTTAGTAGGTAGGTGATACATAGTAGAGGCCACGTGTCTCATAGCATTAAAAATTGACTACTTCATTAAATCGTCACTACATGCCCCCGAGATTGCATCCAACACTTTTTACTGTAGCATTATCCTACTATAATATTTTCATACAACGGTATTATACCTCAGCTTGTAAATATATTTTCACGTATTGAGCACTTACTTTTGACCCGTAAATTATACAAGTGGATTGCTTTATAAAAAACGTATCTAATTTAACTAACCTGTTTTTGCGAAACCAAGAATACATCTTCCTTTTCTAACAAATTGTCAAGGAATTTAATGAATCCGGCCTCACTGTTTTCAGTTGAATTGAACCAGCCAGAGTTGAACATCAACGTCATTGGAACTTTGGTGGTGGTACGAACGCCCTCTACTTGACTTGTTAGCCAGTTGGCAATTTCGTCAGCTGTACCTCTGAAATAATAATTATTTAAATTTCTTACACTTTAAAATCAAGATTGAAAATGAACTTACTGGATTCTACAAGCCGAAACAACACTACATTCTTTTCCTTCATTTCCAACTAAATCGTTAATCGGAAGGATCCAAAAACCTTCAAAAGGTTCATTTGGACATTTAGCACCCAGAAGGCAGTCTTCAGTGGACTTGTAATCCAAGGTGTACGGGAACATCCTTTTAGCCGGCAAAGAAGGCCAAGAACTGTCGTACGTCAAGCCAGCTTGGACGTAAGCCTTAATCGAATTGTTTCCGGAAAGTTGGAGTTGTGGGGTCCTGACTCCCATGATTTTTTCTACTGGAATGCCAGCGAATTTAGATATGATGTGTCTTTGGCCTTCGAATTCTTTAACAAGGTCTTCTTCTGAGGCTGATCTCCAGTAAGATTGAAGAGGATTTTTACTGAAAGTAAGTCAGATACAAAATAATAACAGCGACCACAAACTTTACATTATAAACAGTGATCCACAAAAAGATGTTTCTTAAGTAGGCTATGGCCGATAAAGATAGATATGCAAGTCATGTCCATGATGCATGGTTTTTTGGTATTACGTGACATTTTTATATGTGGATTGCCGAAAGGTCCCATAAAAGATAGGCTTTTTGAAGAAAAGTCTGATACACTCACGTTTGAAAAAGCCATTGAGATAGCAGGAAATAAAGAAGCTAGTTGTAAAAGAAGTCAAGAAGTAGTTATAAAGAAAGAGACAGAGGAAGAAGTTTATCAGTTAAGAGGAAGACGGCGAACATTTTATAAAGGTGAGAGAGATGGTACATCCAGCAAAAGCGAGGGAAATGGTAATCGCCCAAATCGGAGCAAGAGCCAAGGAGTCGGCGCAAACGCAGAAAAGTGTAATTGTAAAGTGTGCGGTAAAGTTCATCCCCCACCCTGCAGGTACCGGAATTGTGTGTGTCGCAGATGTGGAGTCAAAGGCCATCTAGCGGTAAGGTGTTTTAAAAATATTGTAAACAACTCTAGATCGGGATGGAAAAATCGAAATAATTATTTAGAAACTGAAAATGATGATAATGGGGAGTTATGTAATCTAAACGATGATCATTTTGATTTATTTAATATAAACGAATTTTCTCTTGAACCCATTTTAATAAACATTTCTGTAAATAATAAAATGTTTGAATTTGAACTAGACACGGGAGCCTCCGTTTCGGTAATTTCAAATAGATTTAGAACAGCTAATTTTAAGGAATATTTGTTAGAGTCCACTGATAAAACATTAAGAACATATGATGGAAATTCTTTGAAACCATGAGGAAAAATAAAAATTAATATTACTTATAAAAACAATAAAAATTATTTGGATGTTTATGTTATAAATAATGGTGGACCTCCATTGTTGGGTTGAGATTTTTTTAATAAATTCAGTCTTTCAGTAAATAGTTTAATTAGAGAAAACAAAGTAGATGAAATAATTGGGGAATTTCCAACAGTGTTCGGTGAAAAACTTGGTTGTTTCAATACAGGTTATATCCAGTTAAGGTTAAAAGAAGGGGCACAACCAAAATTTTATAAAGCTAGAATGGTACCTTTTGCTTTAAAAGAAAAAGTAGAGGCTGAAATTGATAGAATGGTACAGTCAGAAATTCTATCACCAGTAGAATACAGTGACTATGGTACACCTGTGGTACCAATATTAAAGCCAAATGGCACGGTTCGCTTATGTGGCGATTATAAAATAACATTAAATCCAGATCTAGAGGTAGATAAATTTCCGTTACCTAGAATTGAAGAATTGTTTGCAAAATTACAGGGTGGAACCCATTTTATAAAATTAGATTCGTCGCATGCATATCAGCAAGTAGAATTAGATCCAAATTCCAGGTTATTAACTACAATTACAACTTCTAAGGGTCTATTTTATTTTAATAGATTACCGTTTGGTATTCATACAGGGCTATTCAAAATTTCAAAAAATTATGTCAAAAGTATTAGATGGTATGGATGGAGTAGCGTCATTTTTAGATGATGTGTTGATTACGGGAAACTCAATGGAGCAACATTTAAATAGGGTTAAAGCGGTACTTAAAAAGTTTAGTGAAGTAGGGTTCACTTTAAAAAAAAGTAAATATGAATTTTTTAAAGAAAGCGTTACATATTTAGGGTTTAAAATAGATAAAGAAGGTTTACATACATGTCAGGACAAGGTAGAAGCAGTGTTAAACGCTCCCATTCCTAAAAATATCACAGAAGTGAAAGCATTTTTGGGACTGGTGAATTATTATCATAAGTTTATAGCAAATAGTTCAACATTGCTACAACCTTTACATAAATTGTTACGTAAAGACACAGTTTTTGAGTTTAACGAAACATGTATGCAAGCTTTTCAAAATATAAAAAATACTTTGGCTTCAGCAAAAGTGTTGGTTCACTATAATACAAAATTGCCAATACAGTTGGGGTGGGTGCGGTGATTTCTCATTGCATAGAGGGCATACAAAGGCCCATAGCCTATGCTTCGAGAACATTATCACAAAGTGAAGGGAAATATAGTCAGATAGAAAAGGAAGCCTTAGCTATCATATTTGGAGTAATAAAGTTTTATCAATATTTATTTGCAAGGAAATTTACTTTGTTAACTGACAATAAACCATTAGTGGCTATTTTTGGGCCAAAAAAGGGCATACCCTTGTTCGCAGCAAATCGTTTGCAACGCTGGTCTTTAATTTTAGCAAATTTTCAATATGAAATAAAATATGTATAGTCAGAGGATAATTATGCAGATTGCTTGTCCAGATTACCTATTAGTACACCTGGTATACAAGAAAACGATTCATCATTTGTATTGAATTTTATAGAAAATAATGAAAATATTCCCATAGATTGTAACAAAATTAGAGAGTGTACACTAAGTGATGATATTTTACAAAAAGTTTGTGAATATACATATACCGGGTGGCCTAAAAAAGTAATTCCGGTATTACAAGCACATCAGGTAAATAAAAATTCATTTTCAATAGTTAATGATTGTTTAATGTTTGGGTTCAGAATTGTTATACCTAAAAGTTTACAGCAAGATATTTTAAAAGAAATTCATAGTTCTCACATGGGTATGATTAAAATGAAAAGTATGGCTAGGTCATATGTTTGGTGGCCAGGAATAAATATAGATATAAAAAAACGGCTAAAGCTTGTGAAGCTTGTCTAGTATTTAGAAATAACCCCCCAAAAGCTAAACTGGTAACTTGGAAATACCCACAAAAGTGTTGGGAACGGATACATATAGATTATTTAGGACCCATGAGAAATAAATTCATTTTAGTGGTTACTGATGCATTTTCAAAATGGACGGAAGCGTTTTTTGTAAGCGGCACTACTTCTTTAGGCACGATAAAAATATTAAGAAGCCTATTTGCTCGGTATGGAATTCCATTTGTCATAGTTAGTGATAATGCTCAGTATTTTAGCTCAAATGAATTTACAGATTTTTTTAAAAAAGAATGGAATTATACTTAAACATAGCCCTCCTTTCCACCCAGCTACAAACGGGCAGGCAGAAAATTCAGTTAAGACAATAAAAAAACGCTATTAAAATTTTTACATACAGGGAAGGTAGATATGGATTTAATGTTACAAAGATTTTTAATGGACTATAGAAATACTCCACATTGTACAACAGGAGTATCACCAGCCGAACTGATGATGGGTAGAAAACTCAGAACTAAATTAAGTATGTTTTTACCTGAAGATCAGGAAAATTTAAATCTAAATTTAATACCTACAAACATAAAAAAAAATATAGAAAATCAAATAAAGAAATATTCTGGTAAAAGACAAAAATTATTTAATAAGGAGAGATAGTGTTAGTAAAAGATTATAGAGATGTTAAATATAAATGGATTAAAGGAAGAATTGAAAAAAAAAATTGGATCAAGAACGTATTTAGTATTTATTCCTGATCTTCAGAAAACGTGGCATCGTCACCTAAATCAAATTTTAGAATATGGTGATTTTATTAGTGATGTTACAACTTTACAACCTAGTGTATCTTCCTCAGCCAATATTGTATTATCGCCAGGAACTCCGACAGAATCTGATAATATTAGACGTGGTACTCGCGTTAGAATACCCACTGATAGATTTTAGACATGGGTAACGCAGCGCTGCGTTGCGTTATTGCGTTAACGCAGTTGTATGCGTTACAGGCGTTGATACACCAGCTGTTACTGTATCAGCGCAACGCAATTTTCGGTACTGAGTCGAAAGGATCGCGAGTTGTTGGTGCGCCATGCGCCAGGCACTGATTCAGTTTTCCGTGACGAGTTGAGAATTTTAATTTACGTAATTGATGCAACTCGTAATGCAGATTACTCAAAATGTATCAAGTAATTATGTTCTTTGCAACATGTCACACCATTTGTAGGATATTGTAGGTCGAATTTTTTGGATTTTAACCTTGTACACTGTCAGTTTTTAGTTCTTCCCATTTTGATTGGGTACTAGTACTAGTATACAAAAGTTATATCCTTTTTATATAAATTGGAATTTTTGTATTCTTTGTAAAATCCGAACACAATGAAATAAAAAAATGTTATATTTTCGTTTATTTTTAAACATAGGTATAATTAAAAAAATTTAGTTAAATTCCCAATTGCGTTATTGCCTTGAACACGGTTTGACCCTTATAAAAGGACAACCAGGTTTTTGAAAGAGATGACGGACAGACAGGGGATTTTAGGGGAAATAGGGGGAAGTAAAAACAACTCGGTCTATTTTTACTCTTTTAATCAAAATTACTTATTTTGCAAGAAATCCTTACCTAATTTTGGTAAAGATACACTGAGGTGATTTTACAAATAATAAGGTGAAAATGTAAAGTTAGAAAATCGAGAAATCGCAAATCGAAATCCAAAGTCAGAAAACATTTTCACCTTATTATTTGAAACACCTCAGTCTATCTTTACCAAAAAATAGGTACGAATTTTTTACAAAATAAGTAATTTTGATTAAAAAAATGAAAATAGACACAGTAGTTTTTACTTCCGCCTATTTCCCCTAAAATTCCCTGTCTGTCCATCATCTCTTTCAAAAACCTGGTAACCCTGAGGACAACCCGCGCTGAATAACACCGGTATCATGCGATACACCGAGGTGCATCGACTTCATTCGGCGCAGGCAGTGGTGTGACGCAATAACGCAATTGCGTTAACGCAATGAGTTGACGCAATAGAGTGCGCCAGAGTTAGTGTATCAACGCAAAGAATTTTAGTGCGTTACCCATGTCTAATAGATTTGGCTATTATTGCCAGATTCTGGAGGGGGAGAAATGTAATGTATGCACATAAGTTTTGAGTGTACCTCGTATACAGTGTAAGTTATGGGCATGCGCCAATTATGGTCATAAAAGGTGTGCGCTGTAATTAGCACAGTATGGGGTATATTCTGT